CAACTACAGAATAACTTATTAGGATCGGATTAAGCAACTGTTTCACAGTTCAAAATAAGGTATCACAATTTTTCTTTAGACAATGCAGCTTGACTTGTGCTTTTTTAACACTCCAAAATAGCTTTGCTCAATCTAAACTTCAGTCTTCTTCCCAAAAAATACTGTAAAATTTTTAAAAAAAAGGGCATTGTTTAAAATTAAAACTACTCGAAAACAGTCAGTTCCCCAATCAATAGACTTCTTGCATTACTGCGAATAAATTTTATAGGTTTTATCGAGTTGCAAGGTATGACTGACAAAGTATTTAGCGTTTGAAATACATTTTTAATCCAAGAATGTGTATGTAAACAGTCTTCAGTTTTTTAATAAATATTAAAGTTGTTCACTGTTCTAATAATGCTAAGAATGAGTAAACGACTTGTAATTCAACCTAGCATGTTAAATTTAGTCTTAGTTTGGTAACTTGTGACAAAACAATTTAGCGTTAGAACAGAGAAAATTTTTATTGTAGCTGTACAAAAATTCTTACACGCATGTTTGACACAGATAAACGAATGCCTTTCACTGCAGTCATTCATCTTCCAGCCAACTGCTGCTTTATCAGTGACACAGATTTTGTTCGAGTCACTTGTTGGTTCTCCTGCGGCCCAGTTAGTGTAACCCGTGCTTTCCAACTGCAAAATTTTTCTTAGTTATTTTAATTCTGTTTCACCCATTTTTCAAAATTATCACTTTCTAAAATATTCTAAATAAAAAGTATAAAAAATAAAAAAAAAAATTCATTAACTATATTTAGCAAAAAACAAACAGCTAAATTTTTAATTTTACCACAGAAATTATTTCGCCAAAGATAATCGGTTATTTTTGTGCATCCTTCTAGCACAGTAATTGCACAAACAATAAAAGAAAATCACTTGCTTCATACTATGGTTCTTACACAAATGGCTAGCAAATTTCTAGGTTTTCAACCCAATACACCAAGCTTATTTCCTTCTAAACAAGTACAACCAAAAACCACTCACTGGAGACCTTACTCAATATTCCCTACCCAAAGGTTATGGTCTTCGTTGATTTTGAAAAAGTTTAAAAAAAGAGAGCTCTTTATAAATGACTCCTGTACCTTAGATTTTTGTGGGAAAGACCCAATAAAAACCAAAATGTCATATCCCTATAAACGTGAGCAAAGGTGAAATAATTTGTCTGTCCAAACCCATTTATTTCAACATCTCCTATTAAATAAACTCAAGGTTGTTTTGATGAAAGTATTAGCGGTTTCTGTAAGGCCACCCAAACAGAACGTACAGTCAGTTGTTTGTCATTAATGGTGTCCCAAACAAAACCAGTAGACCCTCTTCGAAGCCCAATCCAATAAGTTTCCTTCATCGTATGCTCTAGAACATCAATTTTTTTTCCCACATAGCTGATTTTCAGGCACTTTCCTTGATCATTCGTTTTATAAACAGCATTACGAAAAATGTTTGCTTTATCAAAAATTCATTTGCGTAATTCAATGCAGTACCGAGTTATTTATCAAAACGTATTCAGAACAACTAAAACGACTAACGGTTTACGTAGCTCTGTTCGTATTCGTTAAATAAAGTTATTAAAACGGCATTATTCGCATGGCACATTGCCTGGGCAACATCCCACGGTTGTGATCTGAGCACGAACAACCAACATCTATTAGACAGCAATTCCCAACCGTCATCACATTCTAAAATACCACTTGTTAATTTAATTGTAGGTTTTCATAGTTTTTAATCACTGAAACGATTGGTTGTTTCAAAATTTTCCTGCAGAAAAGAAGTTAAAAATTATGATGTCATAAACGAACACCTTTTATAATTTGGTCCATTCGAGATCCCATGCCAATATCTGACCATAGCGTGTACGGTGCCTTAGCAAAACCTTAAATTTTTGAAAAGGTCAGTGATATTTTATTGGAACTTTTATTGTAACTTTAAAATAATTGTCTTGCGTCGTAAAGTGCTTAAACGTTTCATGTTTTTGCTACACAATTTGCCACAACAATTTACCTTATAATTAACGTATAAACAACTAGAATTTTTCGCGTCATCTTGAACAAGAAGTAAATATTTTTATAAGCTGAAGTTATTTTTTTACCATTAGGTTGATAGTACGCTATAGAAGTCTGATCTAGATCTCCAAGAATGTAGGCTGTAAATGACTGCATCTGTGAATCCACTGGAAAGTAGAAGTTCTGTTGTTGAGAACAGTTTACTGCGTAATTTTCATATATATAGCTTCCTCGGTAGAGAGTAGGAATTGAGCGTATTACCTGCACAAAGTATTTGAAAACTTTTTAAAGCAACACAAAAAATGTCAGCTTCTTCAGGCTAAAAGTGAAATCAGCAAGAATTACATTTCCTGCTCTGGGTGGCATAACCATGGTAAACTCTCCCCCTGAGAATGCAGCTAAGTTCATCAAAACAGTTGATTCTGGACTATTCAGATCTTGACCACATGGAGCCGGGGACATCAGCACCACATTCAACTAAATTAACGTTTGCTGTGTCATTCGCGTATTTAGCTTTAAAATTTTAGAATAGAAATCATTGCTAACTTTAACTCGTGTCGCTTGTAACATTTCGTAAACTGCTGCCGACGCACTCATATCAGTTGTTGAAAATTTCATGTAGCCGCTGATAAACAAATACATAATTCCTAAAATATGGCTTTTTCAACAGGAACAGCTTAGAATTTCCTCCAGAAAACCGGAAGACTGAGAAATTTTTGCAGTAAAACTATATGAAAAATATAAAAAAAAACAGTTATTTAACTTTTTTGATAAATTTTGAGAGGAAAGTTAAAAATATGAGTTCGAAAGTTTGAAACACTTACCGTCATACGTTAAACCAGTGTGCAGTAGCGCATTAAGCAGTCCCGGCAACACGTATAAATTACGACAAGATGGCTGTAAAACATGCAGCTTAATCTTCCGTTCTATGCACAGCAGCTTCTAGCTAAGTTTTTTGGAAAAAAGATTAAGATAGCGGAAAAATTGAAATCTTTACTAGTCGCTTCGGTAAGTTGGAAAATTTCAGTAGGTTGAATCAAAATTAAACAAACCTTTAAGCCATTGACTTCTAGAGATTATAACATCAGAATGAGGCCACTTTACGCTTTAGAAATGAGATTTTAGCTTTACATAATGTGGTCAACAACAGAGAAAGGATCTGATCGGGTTAATTCTATTCTATCGTTGTTTGGTTGTGGTACTGGCCATTTTCAAGAAGAGCTGCTAACCACTTTTCAAGTAAAATTTGTAGATCAAAATAATAAGCGTATGATGAAATTGCGGCGTGATCTGCTGTTGTGAAGAAGTGGTAGATTAATTTTTGCAGCGTCACAAAGGCTAATTTGTCGCAAGCCACAAATGCATTAATGATTTGATTTACAACTTGAACTAAGTCGGGAAGAGCTAGACATTTCGTAATTTTTAACTCATAATTTTCTCAATGTGCAGTTACCAAAAGCAAACTGTTTTCCACGTAAGCTCAATAAAACAACCAAGGAGTAACTTTCAAGTGCATTTTTCAGTTGACTAACCGCTTGTCTTTTTTTACACCACTAATTACTTCACAGGCAATCAGTCCACTTCTGCAATTTTTACCTTCATAAATCTATACGAAAAGCCTTCTAGTCTTGGCATACTCAAACTAGCGCATCCTTACGAAGCATGCGTGCACTCATTCTTTTTATCTGTGTCTTCAAATTGATACTGTTAACTTTAGATTTAAATTCACAGTAACGCTCTGATTTGGTATTCTTTATTCTACAGTCTTTATTCAGACACTCTTTCATGGGACACTTCTAGAATTCCGAAATATGGTAATTTTTTAGATGCCATTTGCTGCATTACTTCCAAATTCATAGAAGGAAGTCATGATCAAGTAATATCAAGCTTTATTACTATGTTTTTTTTTTCTGCGTAAAAACCAGCTCCACCTGTTCTTCAAATCTGCCTCGATCTTTGTACAGATACTTTTGAAGCAGTGGTACTCAAAGATAAAATTAATTACATTCTACCTAACATTTAACACTGCTTTTTCCAACAGTAAATTTTAAAAA